AGATGTTGCATTGTGCTAAATTGTGGTCAATGTCGTGAGACAAAGTGTATGTGAACTGCTGTATGGAAAGTGTATTTGCTCTGTAAATTTTCACCCAAATCATAATTAAAAAAAAAAAAAAAAAAATTCTGACTTCTAGAAAAGTCAGAAGACCTGACAGCAGTAGGCCAGTGATTCTTCCTGGCAACAATCAGCTGAGGTTGAGTAGTGGCTACCCCTTTTAGAGAGGGCTATGTATTCTTGTTTACCCCCTCTTCCCCAAGCTTTGCTCACTTTTTACCTTCCTAGCCCATTTAGGAATGTAAATTTCCTATCTCTTGCCTACAAGTGATAAATATTCATTGTCAAATATACAAGAGGATAAGATTGAAATAAATTCATAATCTTAGAAAAATAAAATCCATGGAATTTCCAAACAATAGACAACAGCATTAAAGATGTATTTTGGAGTAGGCATTCTCCCTTTTATTCATCCTCATTTGTTTAATTAGAAGACATCTGTTGACTGTGTGCTATGTGCTAGGTGCTGTCAAGAATTCTATAGGTAACAAGCAATTAAAGATGCTGACCCTCAAGTAGTTTAAAGTCTAGAGGACCTTTTATATTCCAATGAGAACAAAATTGATGACAAACTATTAAGTGGGGAGTGTACCCAAGACCATGTGTAGGGTTGGCAGATAATGGTCCTATAAGTGTATTTGTATGATCGGTAAGAATTCCCAGGTGTATAATAAAGATGACAAGGGACAAGGTTGTAGTCACTTCTTGGTCACAGCCAGCTACCCAGAGGGACCAAGTAGTTGAACCAATGGGTTCAGGACCATAGTCACAAGGAACATCAAGCTCAATCAGCATAACGTACTACACAAAACATTGTTCCACCTCTTACTTTGGCAAGTAGTGACTGGGATCTTAAAAGCTTGCAAGCAGCCATCTAGATGCAACGATAGGTCTCTCCTCATCCAGTGCAAAGAAGAAAGTAGAAAACCAAAGATTCATGGAAACAATTACTCCTAGTGACTGGTATACCCTGCGATCCTCAGCCTATATGACTATGAGATCAGAAGAACTAGATGGTGCCCAGCTACCACTGTCAACCACCCAGAGGGGAATCTATGTAGGAGATCCTGGATAGAAAGGGAGAACAATGTGGAACAAAACTCAAAGTCATTTGAAAAAAAAAAGGGGGACCATGTTTGGTGGTCTGATAGAGACTGGTAGAACCCCTGACACTATGGCCCCTAGCTGCCCTTCAGGTTTGGAATTGAACCCATACCTGTGGCTTCCAGCTGAACAAAAGACAGGCATAGGAGTTGAACATTTACCTGAGGTAGATACACTTCTTGGAGAGAAGAATCATGGGAGAAAGAAGGGCTGTGTATGCACAGGGAGACGGCTCAAGGGGCAGGAGTACATGGAGGGATGGACACAGGGAAGAGGTAATTACTGGGAGGAAGTGGGAGGGGAGCTGTTGCATTGGGGTAAATTGTAGTCAATGTCATGAGACAAAGAGACAAAATATATGTGAACTGCTGTACGGAAAGTGAATTTGCTCTGTAAATTTTCACACAAATCACAATTTTAAAAAAAAAGAAAAGCAAGAGCTTTTTATAAAATAAAATCAAATAAAAAAAAAAAATGGTGATGAAGTATCTAATGACAAACCTGGAGATGCAAGTGTGAAGGCAGTGTTGAAGGGTGGGTAAACTATAACTGTAAATATGTTCCAGGACTGTCTGGAAGGGCCAGGAACAAAAGCTGAGATGACTGGTTTTGTGTACAGAACAGTGATAAAGCACATATATACACAGACAATTTAGAAAGGGTTAGATAAGTCTGGATATAAAATCTCAGGTGTCTATGTCAGCCTGAAAACGTATGTATATAAATTTTTGTTGGGTATCTTCAAGTTGATTCTTACACATGGTGACCCTATATGACAGGGTAGAACTGTCGTATAGAGTTTCCTAGGCTGTAATCTTTATGGGACCAGATTGCCAGGCCTATTCCCCCAACAGAGCCTGTCTGGTGGGTTCAAACTGCCAACATTTTCTTCAGCAGCTGAGCACTTAATCATTACGCCACTAGGGCTCCTCATGTGTATAAGAGAGGGAGATAATTAGTAATGACATCTAGATTGAGGTATGTATAATAAACACTTGAGGGCTCAGGATGGGGCTGCAGATGATGGATGGTAACATGCTGTCAGATGCCATCGAGTTGTCTCTGACCCATAGAGACCCCATGTACAATAGAACAAAACACTGCCCGGTCCTGTGCCAGCCTCACAATCCACACTACATTGCCCATTGTTGCAGCCACTGCATCAGTCCACCTTGTTGAAGGCCTTCCTCTTTTTCATTGACCTTCCACTTTACCAAGCATGATAGCCTTGTCCAGGGAATAGTCCCTTCTGACAACGTGACCAAAGTAGGTAAGGTGAAGTCTGGCTATTCTTACTTCCAAGGAACATTCTGGCTGCACTTCTTCCAGGACAGATCTATTAGTTCTCTTGGCAGTCCATGGTATTTTTGGTATTCTTCGCCAGCACCACAACTCAAAAGCATAAACTCTTCTTCTGTCTTCCTTATTCATTATCCAGGTCTCACGTGCATATGAGGCTATTGAAAATACCATGGCTTGGGTTAGGCGCACCTTAGTCTTCAAGGAGACATCTTTGTTGTTCAGCACTTTAAAGAGGTCTTTTGCAACATATTTGCCCAATGCAATACATCTTCTGATGTCTTGACTGCTACTTCCATTAGTGTTGATTGTGGATCCAAGTAGTATGACACCTTTGACAACTTCAGTATTTTCTGCTGCTTCTTGGTCTGGTTGTGAGGATTTTTGTTTTCTTTATATTGACATGTAATCCATACTGCAGACTGTAGTCCTTAATCTTCATCAATAAGTGCTTCAAGTCATCCTCACTTTCAGCGAGCAAAGGTGTGTAACCTGCATATTGTAGGGTGTTAATGAGTCTTCTTTCAATCCTGATGCCACCTTCTTCTTCATATAATCCAGCTTCTCAGATTATTTGCTCAGGATATAGATTGAATAAGTGTGGTGAAAGGATACAACCCTGTATACCCCCTTCCTGATTTTAAACCACATGGTATCCCCTTCTCTATTCAAATGACAGCCTCCTGGTCTTTGTACAGGTTCTTCCTGAGCACAATTAAATGTTCTGGAATTCCCATTCTTTTCAATGTTATGCATATTTGTTTTCATCCACACAAATACTTTTTTTTTTCTTGTTTATTT